TACATTATGCAATCCAAACATTGTGAAGACAAATGCTGTGATTGTGTAAGGAGAAAAAGAGCCCCCTCTGTTTGTCAGAATGAACCTCTGTTCATCCTTTGTCTGAAACGCTCTTGTTCCCGCCCCCCAACATGCAAGTCTGCTCTGATAGGTCAACTGTCTAGAGAGTGTCAGAAATGTCACGCCGCCTTAGGCTTCCAGATTAACTGTACAAAGTGTGTGTGTGGAGATTTCGTGCTCAATAAAGTTAATAATAACCAGTTTTGTTGTGTGTTTTTTTTCTCTAACTTCCTAAAACGTAAATTCCACTATTGTTCATTAACTTCACCTTCTGACATGAATAAGAAGTAATGATGAAATAGATTTATAACTTATTTTGACGTCTACTCTGTACCTGCAGCTCCAAATCTGGCTCCCAAACCTACTGGAACTTCACCAACGCCTCCGGATCCAAACCCGGTCTCATCCAAATCTGCAGCTGCTCCGGCTCTCACCCCCAAACCATCAGGACCGCCAGCCGCCACTGCCACTCCGGTTCCAGCCAAACCCCCCGTCACAGCACCGGCTCCATCCCTGAGGAAAAGCCCCGTGATCCAACATAAAGCAGAAACTACCAGAGCTGCAAACCCCTCAGACCCTCCTCTTCCTCGTCGGTAAGACGGAGATTTCCTGAGTCTAAACACTCTGATAATCCAGAAGGAGCATAAACGGTCAAATGTGATTCTACCATCCCGGTGAGGATGTCTGTTAATTAAATAGGAATTATGTTGCTCGGCATCGACTGGAGTCATTTCCCCCGTCGCTCTGGAACGACAAGAATGTGCTCAGTAACTCCGTATTTATTCCAGACGACTCGATGTGAGAGCTGCTGCTGCTCAGTGTAGATACAAATCAAGCACAGATAAACAAACAGTCTGATAATTCACAACATTTACACTGAAGTAATTTAAGGTTGAGGGAAAAACACATAACAGGAGACTCAAAGTTTTTCAGTGTTTCTTTCCTCCGTGCCAGCGACACCTAGTGGCCGAAGCCATTATGTCTTCAGGCTGTCCATCACATTTCTGTCATCCTGATATCTCGAGAACACCTCGAGGGAATTTCTTAAACTTTAGTTCAAACTCTTTCTGGGACTCAGACAGGAGCTCGTGTCCCTCACAGAAATGTTGAATATCATCTGACACCACAGACACCACAGACACCACAGACCCAGGAGCTGTGTTTTCTCCTCCATGTTAAAATTCACCAGTTCACCTGAGTCACTCTGTCCTCCTCAGGCCCTCAGGTGAAAAGCTCCTCCCCCTCCGTCCTCCACCAATCAAGTCCATTCCCGGGCGACCGCCGCCTCCGTCCGTCAACTCGACCTCCTCAGCCAACCAGGTCCCTCTGCCTTCCAAAGCCACTCCCGCTCTCTCCGTGTCACCAGCCGCCCAGAGTTCACAGACCACGCCCCATCCCGTAACAGCCAATCAGCTGCCTGCTCAGAGGGTCACAAAAAGAGGACCCCCTCTGCCCCCTCGGCCTAAACCTGGACATCCTCTCTATACCAGCTACACGGTGTGTGGACACACACACACACACACACACA